CGAACAGTAAGACGGGAACGAGAGAAGATTTATACCATTTTCCACACAAAAATTGATACAATCTAAGCTGATATGTGACTCACGGTTATCAAGGAGAAGAACAATAGGATGATCTTTATAACATCTGACTGTTTTCACAAAATGTGATAATAATAAACCCGACTTCACTAACATTAGCAGCGACAGTGTATGTTACAAGGTCACATTGGAAATCGTATTAAACCACATGCATGAACGCTTTAGGTTAAACAAGTTCGTATTGGCACTCATATACTGACCTATACTTCAAACACGTTGTTTAATACTTATCTAATATAACGTATTATGTGGTCACCCATGAATTGTTGTAGAGTTATCCAAAGAAGAATAAAACAGTCAAAATAAAGTACACGAAACTTCCGTGTCCCAATCACCGCAAAATGTCGACAGCTATACAGTTGTTGTTAAACTAGATACTTTTGGTGCCAAACCAGGTTTCCATCAATATTGTGTTCATATCTAATAAGCATGGTAGTGCTTGCACAGTTGGCTGTGAAGAAGGCACGTGACGTGTCGCTTTTTTTTTTTGTTGTTATCATGACAGGATTTCCTCAACATTAGAGTCCAATTTTTGAACTTTCAGTAGTGGACTCACCAGGGTAGTTTGTCCAAACAGTTATCTGGATATATAATGGAAGTTGTACAAAGTTTTTTAATGTAAAAAGATTAATCTAAAACTTGACCAAACAGACTTTAAAATTTTTACACAACCACTAAGTACCTACTATTATTAATCTTAGTTACTTTTCGTATTTTCTTTTCAATTTATTTGTTATGAAAACATGAAACTCATGCAGGGAAGACATCTTAATGAAAAATGTTGCATTTAGGCCTAAAAAGGACGTTTAAACGAGCCATTTTTCAGTACTGATATATCTACGAAATCAGTCGTTAGGCTTAACAAATATTGCTATTTCTAATTACGTAATTATTTTCGCTGGTGTTTTAATATTCATTTGTCTACATGGACGTATTATACAATATAAATATAAAACACACGTAAAGAAAGACCTAACAGTAATTTTCCTAAGTACATAGTTATGTAGTTATTATTCCTGTTGTGGAAAAGTATTCAATTAATTACCTGGCACGTGTCACGTCCTTGCGCTTCCATTCTGCAAAATATTTCTATGATGAATCAAATCGATGCCCATTTCATCAAATATTATAGATTTATAAACGCTTTTATGATCCTGGTTTAACAAGCATGAAAAAGAAAAGTTAATTTTATCCAATCAACATTTACGCACGGTAAAACTTAAGTTAAAATTGTTTCATTTATAAACTCTTAAAAAAACTATATATTTTTTATATAACTTAGATGTTAATCGATATAGTACATCATAATATTACCAATCTAATCGTACATGGGTTAAATGGTAACGTCAGACACTCGTAGGGTTCAAATATAGCGTCCCTAATTTTGAGCTATCAACCAAAGAGAATGCAGTTGGTTAGCCATAAGTGTTGTGAGCCGAACAACAGTACTGCCTTCACTATTATAACGTACTCAGAACTGAAAGTGAGAGAAGTAATCAGAAGCAACCTTGGCTCGAACCTTGAGCCTTCTCTCTCACACCTTTAGGCCACCTCGCCCTACGTTCTACAAATTACGTACGGTTAAAATTGTTCCTGTTGCTGTAGTAAACAGCACGTAAGTTGTTTCTTTTTCTTTTTTTTAGCTTCATTTTGGAAATAATTTAAGTTCCATTTTCAAGGATTTTAAAGCTATATTTCCATAAGTAAAATACTCATTCCGGAGGAACAGATGTGTCAGATAATACTGTTACGTCTCGGTTCGTTAGTTAATTTTCCGTAAATTCGTTCCGACGAAACTTTAGCGACACAAGTCCTTTCTTAAATAAAACTGGTTTATTCTTTCTGAATGTAACTTTGCGATACACTTAATTTCAACAGTCGCTCTGTAACAAACGCTATAATTCTCACGTGCTTAATAATATTCTCTCTGACTGCAGTTCAATTGCTCATTACCTATCCTGTTGTGCCGTCACGTTGTGAACGTCTTATATATACAAGACTAACACATATCTAGTAAATGCTAGGGCATTCTTGAAGGAACAGCATATTTCTAGAAAGAGGTGGCGTGAGAAACAATTCAAAGATAAACAATTACTCAAACACGATACTCATCAGGGAGAAACAATTCAAAGATAAACAATTACTCAAACACGGTACTCATCAGGGAGAAACAATTCAAACGTAAACAATTACTCAAACACGGTACTCATCAGGGAGAAACAATTTAAAAATAAACAATTACTCAAACACGGTACTCATCAAAAGAATGTTTTTATTCGCCATTCTTTTGAATGGAAAATATATTGTTGTTTTAGTTCTGATGTAATAAAAAGTTACTGCAAGTTAACTGTTAAAAATTGATATTTGCCGACTACTTTAACTTTTGGCTTGCTTTTAGGTGGATCGAGTGAGGCCAGCGGTTTGAGTCTCGCCGATCGAGGTAAGGATAATCAACGTGAAAAAACAGCTTTGGACCAAATTCGTCGTGATTGGATAGTGGAGTACGACAAACTTTTTACTGATGATGAATTATCTGGTGATGGAAATATAGAGCAAAGAATTGTTAGTTCCCTCATTCATACACTACCGGCAGCTACAATACGGTCTCTGACAAACAGCGGTTACAAATCAGATCGTGCAGTTTTTATACAACCTACACCAGTTTTCAGCTCAGACATCGTCAGTATCATCACACCTGAAGACGTTTCCTTTTTCTCCGATATTGATTATGACGCACAAGTTGAGAGCATTAAAACCAGTGGCTTGTCTCGGTCTTCCATCCCATATCCTGGTCCATCATCTCTGCTCAACACTCTTATCTTCAAACCATCTCCAACGTACAAAGAATTGCCCACGACCCCAGAATGGGCACTTACCCCCAGTTCAAGTCAAAAAATAAGTTCCAGAGAACACTACGATCGCTCATTTCATTACAACATTGTCCCTTCTTTCCCAACTGGACCTACATCATCATCTTTATTAAACATCAGTCCGTCATTTGTAACCCCAACAGAAGCATTTGTCCTTCTTCGTTCGACAACAAAAGCCTGTACAGCACCAGCAATTGAATCATCTTTCAGATGCAACTCAAACCTCGATATTGAGGAAGATATAGAAACCAGTTTAATCGAGACCGATTTTCGACTTTTACACTTAACGAGTACTAGTACACAATTAACGTCTGAACATACAGCATTTCCTATTGTTCAACAACTATCACCTAACTTGGAGCGAAATGCAATGATTTCGACTGATTCTGAGCACGGGATCGTTTCTGTCACTGTAGCAACCATAATACCCATATTCGAAGACCATAACAAGAATTCCGTAAGAAATCCCACAAGGGAAGTAACTACTAGATCAAACAAAATTTACTCTTCGGCTCCTTTGAGTTCAGAGTCCTTAGAACAAACAGCAGCAACGAAGAATCCGACAGAATCACAACAAGACCAATATGAATTACGAGAATTTGAATTTACCGATCAAATTTATCCATCAGAAAATGAAATGAAACATACGAGTGGTATTATTCCAATCAGAAGCAGCAACCTGCCAGATAATACACATATGGCTTTGCCTTTCAGTTTGTATTCAAGCTTTAATGAAACATCCAACGTATTAGAAAATCGATCTGCTTTTGAGAATTCAACGACAGTTTTTACCACACAATCGCAACCATCTTTAAGCGTTTCAAAAACGAATAAGAATTGGACTGTCGAAGAATCTGAAATTAACAGCATATTACAAGCGTCTTCCCATCATTCGAATATTTCTATAGCAGAAGCACCATCTAGGGTCCAGTTCAATTTTCATTCTTTGACAGAATATTCACCGCAGATCTTGTCGCCAACTTTCAGTACACGTGTGCCAACAGTTTCACAAATCGTAACCAACAGAGATCATGGCCAAGCAACAGTGTCATCATCAGCTATGAATGTTCCCAGTTTGCTTTCTCCTACATTTTTAGATTATGCAAGCTTGTACAACTCAAATACAGAAGTAAGCACTTTTCATAAAATCACAAATTCACAGTTGTTCACTCAACCACCAATATCAGGCAGGTCAATAATCGAATTTAACGTTCCTACTTCAAACTCCAGACAATTTATTTCATATTTTATGGACTCAACCGATGATCTCTCCTCCGTTAACATATCTCCAACCATTGCAATAAATGAAGAAATTGGTGAAAAAAACACAGCTCGTGCTGCACGCGACAGTTCAACAAAGAATAATAATGATAAACCACAACTCAAAAGGCCCGATTCTCAGAAAATTAATCCGGTCAGAAGTTCCAGCAACCATATTCTGTCTTCGGCAGCTTTGAACTTCGAGCTCTTTAAAACAATGCAGAGTAAAACAGAAACGTCCACAAACCCGACAGAGAGGTCCAGTCATGTAACTGGATTTCCGTTTGAACTATCTTTAAATACACGAAAAGAATTGTTAGAACCAACGTCCAGTGAATATGAATATGATGAGCAAGTGCCTTTTATTTTTACAACAGATAGAGTCGGTCAAAAACTAACATCCATGTCCACAATTTCTACAAAATTTCTTCTCCATTCCTCGACCATACCAGATCCTCTATATACAACAACGATAGCAACACTACCAACTATACCAGTAGATACCAGTAGTACGAAAACTACGGATATTTCACACAGTATAAGAATTACAACAAACAGTGGCTTCTCTTCTTCAGAAAGTTCCTCATTTATGGATAAAACGAAAAATTCCATACAAACCGTTCCAACTACACCAAATATGATATGGACAACAAGTGATAACTACTCAAGTTCGATTGGCATACAGGAGACGGTAACACCCACCACCACCTCATCACAAATCCAGCCTAATACAAACAGACAGACAAACACGCCCACAGAAGTCTCCACAACTAAGGCAGTGATGGGAAGTAGAGAAAACTCCAAGCAACCAGATAAAAAGTTCTGGATACGTACCGGTTAGTTACTGTACGAGTATCTTTTTGTTTGTGTGTGTGTGTGTGTGTTATATCACAACTAATTACTACACCACTATTTTAAGATAGTGTGCGTCCAAAGTAAGAATAGCCAGTTCATTTCAATTTTTAAAAGACAAAGCTTTTCATGTAAACAAGTCCTAACAAATTATACTCCATGTTTAATAAATTATGATAGTTAGGCCTAACGTGGAGTACTAATATTCATTAACCTTAAAATTACAAACTTGTTTTTACACAGTTAACTACCGCTAGGGTACACATACTGCATCTCATCGATTGAGTTTACGTTTTTGTCTATGTAGCAATATGCATTGTAAAGAACTGACCAAAATACTGGATGAAATTACTTACTGTCTACGTAAAGTACATAAAAAAACCCAGCGGCAAATACTGGAGAAAACTGCTAACCTGATGCCATTTTTATATATATTTTTTGTGCAACTTTTCATTGCAGGGACCTTTTAACCAATAAGGATTTTAAAAGAATTCGGCAAATAAATGTGGGAAACTAAAAATAAAAAAACAATGATAATTCTCAGGTAAAATAAAAAACAAATTACATTCCATTTCTTACCTGCAACGGAACCCAGTATCTGACCACCGAATCAAGAATGGTTTCGTAAAATAAGTATCAGATGAGAACCCTAGTTACACCCCATCAGGCATTCTAGAAACTCGCATGTTTCTAGACCCAAGTTTGTTACTCATTCTAGGTGTTTATATTGTCATTTTGAGTAATAAAGTGTGCAGCTTATTCAACACGAGCTCGAGAAGCTTCACTTTCAGTGTCAAAGTTCGTTACCCACGACTAAAAATAAATTGATATTATTATTAGCTAGAGAAGCTTCACTTCCAGTGTCAAAGTTCGTTATCCACGACTAAAAATCTTTTCGAGCTAATAATAATATCAATTTCTTCACTTCCAGTGTCAAAGTTCGTTATCCACGACTAAAAATAAATTGATATTATTATTAGCTAGAGAAGCTATACTTCCAGTGTCAAAGTTTGTTATCCACGACTAAAAATAAATTGATATTATTATTAGCTCGAGAAGCTTCACTTCCAGTGTCAAAGTTCGTTATCCACGACTACAAATAAATTGATATTATTATTAGCTCGAGAAGCTTCACTTCCAGTGTCAAAGTTCGTTATCCACGACTACAAATAAATTGATAAAATTGGAATTAAAGCCTTTACATTATACCACACACTCTTGTAAAAATCAACAGGCATTGCTTATCCGTGAGCGCTGGGACCGAAAGCATGCTTCTTACCCACGCGTTGTCGTGTTTAGGAACCTCCTCCTACTTAACAAATGATATTGTAAAGCAAAACAAAAGAAAAAAGACAAAATTTATCCCTTCTTGGTAAACATCGTCTCCCAAATGTCTGCAAGACTTTCAAATAAGAAAAAGAAACTTGGATAATCGTTGAATTATACAGTAAACCATCTTCTTCACCAGCGAAAATATTTTTTTAAATTGTAATACGGCAAACTACTTATAACTTATGCTGGTTATATTATGTTCTCTACGGCATGACATTACAACTTGACGTATTTAATACTGCATCACAACTTCGTGTATTATACAACTTGATGTATTTAATACTGCATCACAACTTCGTGTATTATATAACTTGGTGTATTTAATACTGTATTACAACTTGGTGCGGACAAATGTGAATCCTGGTGGTCAGCAGTAAGGTTAAGGAGTTATAACGTTATAGTTCAGCGTTCAATCCCTACGTTGGACACGGTACAGATGGCCCTCTATGAAGCTTTGCACTTAAAAACAAAACAATCAAACAAAATGAATGCCTGTACACCACAGTTGGCGACTCACGGATTTAAAAACAAAACAATCAAACAAAATGAATGGCTGTACACCACAGTTGGTGACTCACGGATTTAAAAACAAAACAATCAAACAAAATGAATGCCTGTACACCACAGTTGGTGACTCACGGATTTAAAAACAAAACAATCAAACGAAATGAATGCCTGTACACCACAGTTGGTGACTCACGGATTTAAAAACAAAACAATCAAACGAAATGAATGCCTGTACACCACAGTTGGTGACTCACGGATTTAAAAACAAAACAATCAAACGAAATGAATGCCTGTACACC